AGGGCCTGTGCACCCACTGCATCCAGTGCAATGGAGCACAGGGTACTCAGCGCATGTGGGGAGAATAGGCAAAGACATGTACAGAACTCAGACACCACATGGTCTGACAATAGGTCCTAGAAATCATGAAAGCTGAACATGAAACTCTTCCTTCTGCTCTAAGCCTAAGGAAATGGGCACTAAACTGCAAACACACACATGCACAGGCCATCTACGATCCTTACAGCTGGGACACTGGGAATACACCCCGCTCCCGACTCCATCAGCACCCCCGCCTCCCCCCACCCCACGCCTGCACTGTCCCACTCTGGCCATCCCTGCTGCCTCAACTGCTTTATCTATTTCTTTGATCCTGTCATGATCAGGAAGTAAATACACAAGTCTGTTAAGATGATCATTCACAGCCTATAATGAGGGTCCACATTAGCATCCAGCAGAACTAAAAGATCTTTCATAGGACTCATAATCCACAACGCCTCAGAGGAACTTTAGGAGGCTTGTAATAATCTATTTGCACAATAATGGCAAAATGTCATGTACAGGTCACCTTCAGAAGAGCCGCCTCTCATTTTCACAAAAGGAAACAGAGCTGGGGAGGTCATCTGCCCAAGATCAGAGGGCTGAGTCCAACTAACTTCCTGTGCTTGCTGCACTCCCCCATGTGTGAAGGGAAAAGAAACCGTTATTTGCCACATGCCTTCAGCTAATGCTTACACTGAGTACTGTAGGTTCTGACTGCCCACAGGATTACAGTTCATCATTAAAATATCTAACAACTTGATTTTTTTTAAATACATCAATTACCTTTACTAGTTGCAATCCTAAGTTAGTTTTCCTTAAAACAGTAATATTTCACTTTTACTGTTTATTTATCCATTAAAGCAACATCACTGCACTGCCAAATTAACCATACACATTAAACACCTGACACGTGCATCCCAACTCTATCTGAGCCAGCACCGGCGAAGCGGCCAGCTCTGGCAGCATCACCTTGGGGAGCCTCTGGAACAGACCCTAGGATGCTCACCCTCCACCCCATCCTGAGTAGGAGCCAGGTGTCCAAGTACCATGGCTGGCTCCTCACGCTGAGATGTGACCACCCGCCTCGCTTGCTGGAAATACTGGAGGAAGGGGTGTAGAGGGGAGGCAGTGGGGTATCTGGCCACTCTTGGGATTTCTGCTCTTCTCTCACTCAACCGACAAGAAACGGGCCAAGGGCATAGGAGATGGTTCCACTGGAGAGGGGAGACCTGGCCCCTGGGGCCCAGTGGAAGGAGGGGAAGAGCGGGGATGAGACAAGTCAGAGCTCCAGTGGAAAGGGTGAAGCGGGTGGGAGATGCAGAGGACGCAGGGAGATGGGACACTCGAACACAGAGGTGCAGCAAACACACCCTAGAGATGGTGACCAGCCAGGCAGGGAGGGGGAAACGCCCCTCACCCACCTCACCATCTCAGTTCACCTGTGCTCAGCAGACCCTCAAATATACAGTGAACAATCCATCACTGAAAAGAATGTATCAATAACAGCTTAAGGCTTTGCAGAGTTGGAATCCACAGCACTAGAGGCAAGGATCCCAGGCAAGAAAAAAGTGCTGTCAGCACAGAGAAGGAGAGCAAGAGTTAACCCAGTACAAGGAGGGCCAGGAACCCAAGGGAGTGACATCATGGGGTGGGCTGGTCCCCCAACTCTCCCCAGGACCAAAGGCAGCTGCTCAGATTCATTCAGTCATATTCTTTAATCAAGACGCACAAGACACACCCGTGTTTTTCTTTCCATTTTAGGATCAAAAGCAAGAACGGACTTCCAGAACGCAGGCTACAGCTGAACTCATCATTCAATGCCCCCCCACCCCACACACACACTCTGTCTCTGTCTCTCCCGGCTGCCCCCTGGCTAGCTACCTCATCCCACGCAAGGACCCTAATATTCTCCTTCCTATTTCCCCTCCAGAATCCTTGCATGGATCCCCACTGCCTTTCTCTTAGATATCCCTGATGCCCTGAATCTGGCCCATCACCCCCTCCACACTGCACCCAAGTAATGTCTTTCGAGACACAGCCCCGTAAGCATGTGCCCTGCCAATGGAGCCCCAGCAAGTTCCCTTGCCCCGCTGATAACGCCCATGCATCAGAGACTGGCCCACAACCCGGCCTCTGGTCAAGGGGTGGGGGGGGGGGAACCTCACCAGGCTGACTTCCTGCCTTTGCCCCTGCCCTTCCCACGATGGAAAATGCTCCTTCAACCCTCCTGGACCAGGAGCCCACTGAGTCTTTAAGACCCATCTCACATGCTGTCACCTCCCCCAGAACTCTCCCTTCAAATCCCCGGGACATCACTGCAAATCCCCAAAGGTGCAGGTGGCTGCCCCGCATGCTTCACAGCACATGCTCACCTCAACAACCTCCATTACTGGGTCCAGTCACCCAGTGCCTCATACACGAACTGTTCGTTGCGGATCTGTGGAACAGGTCAGTACTTTTCTCTTCTTTTCCCAGGTTAAAAGTACGGACACCAGCGCACACTGTGACCGCCATAGGAAACCCATATCCCAAGACAAAACCACACCAAAGCCCCTCAACACACATCATCCTGCCTCAGCAGCACAAATTCACTAACGTGGTTGGCAGACGTGACACCCACCTCCCAATTTACAGCTAGGCACACGGCCACACTGCAGTGAGGATGGGACCCACAGTTTCTCACACCACCCAGGGACATGGGTGGGGCTTTCCTGACACCTCCCCCCGGTCCCCTCCCCCCCCCCGTGAAACAGAGCAAAGAAAGCTACACTCACCAAGCCCCGTGGGCACAGCATGCAGACATGCCCTCGTATTGCATGTCTGCCCGCGCATACACACTGCAGCTCTGCATGTTGGGTCCCCAAGCGATGCCAGCAGGTGTTTCAAAGCCCTCTCCTGTTCTTTCTCGGCTCAACTGCTGGGAGCGGGGGTGAGGGTGCACAGACCCAAGCTGTTCTGTTTAGGTCTCTTGTGCCCCGAGAATGGGCAAGGCGGTCCTGAATGGGTGCCCTTCCATAACTGAGAGTTCTCACCCAAAGGCCCCCACCCTCCCCTCTACGTCACCAGCAGGCAACTGTGCCTGCTGCTGCCAGGCTCAACTGTCAGTCAGGACTAGCCTCCTTGGCATAAGACCAGGGCATAGCTGCACACTGAATATTTTACCACAATAAAGACATGCATTCCCTCTGCTTTTCCGATCAACCAGCAATTCTCAACCATAAGCACTGCCCAATATACAGATGGTTTGTGCTACGAGTTCCCCAATGAGTCAGCTGTTCAGAAAAAGAACAATCCCCCCCCACCCCAACTCCCCAGAGAACCAGTGGCCTGTGTACAAGGTAAGGCTCCGAGTCAGTCAACAAAAGCTTTATAATACACTCTGGACTTGAAATGCAGAACCTTGAATGCTTTATCAAAGACTGAAAGATGTTGCCAGCCAAATTTATCTACCTGGCTCTAAGAAAATATCTCAAGCGCTCCTTGGAATGCCCAGAACACATCCCCTCCCCGTCGCAGGTCAATGACACCCTGCCCCCCCCCCCCCCCCCCCGTCACAGATCCTCTATGGAGATGGTCCCTCTGGGGTAAGGGAGGTGCTCAGAATGGTGGCTGCAGGCAGTCCTGCAGGGGCTAGGTTTGGACAACTCCAAGAGCTGGGTAGCCCCCACAGCCTTCCATCCACTGGCAGACCTGCCAGGGAGCTGCCCTATCCCTTCCCAGGACGTCGCCTGCACAGCAAAGCCGAACACTTTAACTCTGCTCACAGCCCTTCCCGTACTTCTCCTGTCCCCAAGGAAGGGCAACCCTCTTGAGGGCCTGAGGATTCTGACTCTTCAGAATACAGCCCATGATTCTCAAGCTACCTTCTGTAGCTTTGCCCTCTTGTCGTTGTCCCCCCCGCCCCCGCCCCCGGCAGGGAAGGCAAAGCCCTCCTCCGGCTGTCTCTAACGGGGCAGGGGACAGAACTCCCAAGCGTACTCTGCTGCCCTTCTGCTGGGAAGAGAGGGTCCAGCCTCAGCAGGCTCCCCGCTGTGAGTGGAGCCAGGGGCAAAGGAGGAGGCTGTACCGTGATGAGGGTGGAAGAGGAGAGAGGAGAGGAACGAGCGGCCTGCAGGAGGAGGCAGGCAAGGACGGTTCTCTTCCTTCCTGTGCCAGCTCCACACCCATTTAAGCTGGGGGCTGGGGATGCAAGGTGAACCAGCCAGAGCCCTGGCACCAATGAGGGGAGCACAATCCAGTGGGAAAAGACACAAAAACAAAAAAGGACAAAGTGGACTAAGAGCCACATTGGAAGACGGTACACAAGATGCATGTGTGGGGATTCAACGGAGCCCAACTACGGGAGCCTTGGGGAGACAGGGATGCTTCCCAGAGGGGGAGGGGCAAGCCGGGCGGATGAGCAGGGTTTACTGGCTGCTGAGGAGCACAAGCACAGGAGGGTGAACCAGCGGGCTCGGGCAGGAGTTCAGCCCAGGGCGAGTGCAGGGCGAGTGCAGGGCTCAGAGGCGGGCGGGGGGGGGGGGGGGGGCGGCGGGACAGACAGCAAGGGAGAAGCCTCAGGGTGGGCACAGTCAGATTTTACACATGGAGTGGGGCTGCAGCCTGGCAGCACGGAGGAAGACGCAAGGTGAGCAAGACGGCTGGGGGGACAGAGTAGAGAGCAGACCAGCCCTGAAGGCGGGGAAACCCAGTGGGCCCGGGCGGAGCGGTCAGGTCTGAACTAAAGGAAGCAAGGTGGAAGGGGGTCCTGGAGAGAACGAGACCCCGCCCGCCGGGGACCTGGAAGGAGCGCAGAGTGAGTCGGAGTCGCCAGCTCGCCCAGGGCAGAGCCCTCCACCAAGAAAAGAAACACGGGGGTGGGGATGGGCCACGGCCACTAGGACGCCCCACGCCCTGCCAGCTCCAGCCAGTCCTCCCAAGCAGCCCTGGGGGAGTGGCCTTGCTCCATGCCTCAGGGGGCTTCAGCACCCCAATCTCACCTGCATCCAAACGTTGTCTGCAGCAAGGTTGTGATTCCCACGCAGAAGAAAATGGTCCCGATGAGCTGGCTGGTGGCCCACTGGTCGTACCCCACACACATAGCATCGGCCAGCAGAAAGGGCACAGCGATGGTGCCACTGAAACAGGTCAGGTAGTGCTGTGGACGACAGGAGGTGGTCGGGGAGACAGCAAAGCTTCCTCGTGTTTCCGTCTGATCCCATCCGAACTGAGCCCAATGTTGTTCTATAAAAATGGCCCCCGGGGAAGAATCTCTGGTGTTCTGCGTACAGAACACCTCTGCCTAACCTGTGCCAAATCCTCTTTCTTCTTCAGCGTTTCCCCATTCTGTCTTAACGGTTTACCTGAGTCCAGGACTGCACAGGTGAGGTTTTATTTACGTAACTCTGACTGGGAATATCTGCTTTGCTCAAATGCTTTTTTAGCATCAATTGCTAAAATCTGAGATCTTTTTTCTCTCATCTGTTGACATGAACTGTGCTGCATGGGACCATTCTTGAAACCCTCGTTAGTCATGCTAGATTTGTCTTCTGGGATGTGATTTGCCAATATTTTATGTGGCATTCTACATCTATATTCTTAAGATAATCAGTCTGCCTTTTTTATTTTTATTTTTTTTAATTCTCTCCGGCCTGTGGATTAAGATTACACAAGTTTCAATGCACAGGGTGTTTCCCATCTTTTTCTAGGGTCTAGCATTGTTTGACTACCATCAGGGAAGGGTTATGGGTGTGTGGGAGCTGTGGGAACCCTCCAGAAAGTGCCCATCCCCCACTCCTCCTCCTCCTTTCGGGCCCAGCCCCCACTCTTTGGGCCCCTGGCAGGACATTCCTGGTGCTCACTGCTCACATCTCTTCCTCCCAGAGGTCCGTCTGTTCAGGTCCCACTTCTGTTCTGCAAACTCCCTACTTTCCTTCCCCAGTTTCCCATCTCTGCTTATGTTTGCCAAAATGGGTTGCCTACAGCCTGATGCTCCACTCTACAACACTATTAGGTGTTCCAGGCCGGGAACAGAACGTTCCTGCTCAGGACTTCGCAGAGCTGCTCACAAGCTGAAGAGCACTGCGGATCATCAAGAAAGGCAAGACACACACAGGGTTTCCCGATCCTATCTGACCAGGGAATACTTCTTCTAGAGACATCTGTAATATAAACATTTCCAAAAGTGAGTTTCCTGAACCTGATTCAGGATACTCAGCCCAAGCTAAAGACCACTTAGCTCCTTCAGCTGTGACTCTTCCTTTACTAGACACTTTTCAGTCCAGGTGACCAAGTACTCTGATGCCTGTGTGGGAGGTGGGGGCAGGGGTGCGGAGAGTGCTGGGAACCGGACCAAAGCATCAGGTGTCTGTAGGGACAGCCCCACCTCTAAGTGACTACACCTGTCTGGGCAATGGGACCAATTTTCTCAGCATCTGAAATACCTCAGGTTGAACAGCTCATTTAAACTTGAGAAAGGAAGAAAGGAAAGTGAAACCTCAGAAGAGAGTCTGGGCTAAAACAACCAAGGCAGAGACAGGCCAGGGGGGATAGGGCCTCCTGACTTACGCCCTTCTCCAAAGTCCCCCCTCTAATCCCTAAGAGGAGAAGGGGTACTGAGAGAGGGGAGAAAAATACCCAAGATGCAGAAGCCCTGCGTCAGCCTGGGTCACCTCCCGCCTGGTCCCCCCTTGTCTGGTGGCTTGCCCACTGTGCTCCCACGGCAATCCGTGGCAGACGAAGCTTCTACCGCAGCACCGTCTCCCTTCCCGTATAGAGAACACCGGAACCTCCCATGTACGTCCCGGCCGACAGGGCACTTCTAGGTGTCTCTCATGTTTCGTGGCAGAACTGACCACGACTGGACTGCATGACTAGGAATGAAGATCAAAACTTCTCTCCCCTCCCTCCCTGCATTCTCCCCTCTTTATCTCCACAGTCCTTCCTCCTTCCTGCCACATCACTCATCTTATTCATTCCTTGGGCATTTTCCTTCCTCCGTGCCTGGGTCAACCTCTTCCTCCTGTTCTTGTCTTCCTTTTACTACTATGAAATGGATGCTGATGAGTCCCAGTCACCATTCTTAAAAGAGTAATTTAAAGCGGTCCATAAATAAAAATCAAAATTGAATTTTTAATAACTCCAGACAGACAAATCGAACGTCTGCTGGCGGTTACATCCTGTGGGAACCATCTTACCTGTAACCCCAGGAATATGCACAGGTACCAGGGGGGGACGTCTTCTATGGTATAAATCATGTCCGACCTCTGGGGGTCTAGACTGCCAGTGCTATCCAAGGTTTCGGCAAGAGAGCTCTGCGAGTGACAGGGAGAAAAGGAACTGTTTAATAAAAGCGAGAACCGATAATGAACTCCACTCGATATAGGCCACTGTTACGGAAAAACAACTTTATAAAAGTGGTGGCCACTCTCTTGCAAAAATAAGCCTGGCTGCCTTTGATGTAATGCTCAACACACTCAGTGAGACGATCTGTCCTCAGAGTTTGGGGGCTCAGTAACCCTTATCACTGACTCATCCCCAAGAGCACCCAGCTTGCTCAGTTTCTCTCCATGCCTGGGGACCCCCTATGTAGGGAGGGATGCTTCCAGGTTGAGCCCACAAAGTGATACCTTGGCATGAACAGTCCTTGAGTGGTGCCCCAAAGGAAAAAGCGTTACAAAATGCTAACCACTTTCAAACAGAGCACTAATCTGCCCCTTCTACTTTACCTCATCTCTGCAAGGAGAAAGATCTTTGTACTTTAAAAAAAAAAAAAAAAAAAAAAAAGTCCTACACCTTCCTATCAAAACACTTCTGCTCAGACACATGGTGAGTGAAAAGGGCAAAATTCAAAAGGACACAGATAGGAGGATTCCAATTTTGTTTAAGAGCAGACTAAAGATATATTTGTAGTTTAGGGGACCAGTGGGTTTTTTTTTTCCTCCCTTCTCTTCCCTCCCCCCACCATTACTATAGACTTTTAAAAATATTAAGTGTTGCACGCTTTTTGAGCCAAAATCTTCACAAAGACTGGGCATTTTAGATTATAGTGTAGTCAATGTCTGCATTACTTCTCAGCTAAATAGAAAACTCAAGGTAACCTCACGTTCTCCCACGTATCCTCAAAACTGCTCTGGGTTCTAAAACTCTATGAACAATTTCTTAGAATCCGAGATGGGCATTTTTTTTTTTTTAAGTCTTTCATAACTTAAAAAAGCGCCTAACAAGAAACAAAAGTCAAAGATGTTCCACAAAAAAGGATGATGACCTTCTGACTGTAACTAGCCCCACTTTTGCCCTCTTGTCCATGGATATGGTCCACAGAAAGACACTGACTCCGTTTGTCAACTGACTTCCCGTGCAGAGGCAGATGGGGATTTGGGGGGCCAAATACCCTTGAACAAAAGAAATGGTACAATTCAGCCTCACCTTTCAAAGCCTAAAGGTAAATAAATGTCTGATATAAGTTGACATTTGAGCTAATCCAAACAAGAACTGAGGGTGACCTTTCAGAGAATTTTTTCTTCCATTCTAAATAACGGATATTGGCAGATTTGCATTCAGAGTTAAAATGGATTGCATATGCCTTTTAAAAATCTGTTGGTGGGGGTGGTAGAGAAAGCACATATGTGTGAAAAGTGTGGTATATGCTAATGTGCAGGAAAGGATTAGCTCAGCAGGCCTGGGCTGTCCAAGCCCCCACACATTTCAAAAAATGTCTTGGTCTTTGCCTGGCAATTGGGAGACAACCTAAGAATCTTTGGAATAGCCTGCTCTTTTTTTTTTCTTTTTAAAGATTTTTTAAATTTGTTTATTTGAGAGAAATAGGAAGGGGGAAAGAGAGCAAGCAAGCAGGGAAGAGCGCAGGGGGGAGGGAGAGCATGGAGTGGAACCCGACGCGGTGCTCGACCACAGGACCCTGAGATCATGACCTGAACGGACACCAAGAGTCAGATGGTCAGCTGACTGAGCCACCCAGGTGCCCTACGGAATATCCTGCTCTTAAGAGTGTGTCTAGGGGAGCTCCTGGATGACTCAGTCGTTAAGCGTTTGCCTTCGGCTCAGGTCATGATCCCAGGATCCTGGGATAGAGCCCTGCATCAGGCTCTCTGCTCAGTGGGAAGCCTGCTTCTCCCTCTCCCACTCCCCCTGCTTAAGTTCCTTCTCTCGCTGTGTCTGTCAAATAAAATTAAAAAAATCTTAAAAAAAAAAAAAGTGTGTCTAGGGAAAAAAAAAAAAAAGAGTGTGTCTAGGTGGGGCGCCTGGGTGGCTCAGTCGTTAAGCGTTTGCCTTCGGCTCAGGTCATGATCCCAGGGTCTTGGGATCGAGTCCTGCCTCGGGCTCCCTGCTCAGTGGGAGGCCTGCTTCTCCCTCTCCCACTCCCCCTCGGCTTGTGTTCCCTCTCTCACTGTCTCTGTCAAATAAATAAATAAAATCTTAAAAAAAAAAAAAAAAAAAAGCGTGTCTAGGGGCACCTGGGTGGCTCAGTCAGTTGAGTGTCCAACTCTTGGTTTCAAGTTCAGGTCACGATCTCATGGGTTGTGGAATCTGCTCCACACTGGGCTTCAGGCTTAGCACCAAATCTGCTTGAGATTCTCTCTCCCTCTCCCTCTGCCCCCTCCACTCACACATACTCTCTCTCTTAAATAAATGAATCTTCAGGGATGCCTGGGTGGCTCAGTCGGTTAAGCGTCTGCCTTCAGCTCAGGTCATGATCCCAGGATCCAGGGATCGAGTCCCGCATCGGACTCCCTGCTCGGCGGGGAGCCTGCTTCTCCCTCTGCCTCTCTCTCTCTCTCTCTCATGAATAAATAAATAAAATCTTTAAAAATAAAAAAGAAATCTTCAAAAAAAAGAAATAATAAGATTTTAAAAGTCAGAATAGAACAAGGAAAACATAATATAGGAATTGAAGAAATAAAAAAATTTCCAAGAACTAAAGGATATGTTTGCAAATTACAAAGACCCACTAAGTACTCAATTAATTAATGAAAACCTATTCAGATATTTTGTTTTTTTTTTTTTTTAAAAGACTTTATTTATTTAAGAGAGAGAGAATGAGAGATAGAGAGCACGGGAGGGAAGAGGGTCAGAGGGAGAAGCAGACTCCCTGCTGAGCTCGGAGACCGATGCGGGACTCGATCCCAGGACTCCAGGATCACGACCTGAGCCGAAGGCAGTCTCTTAACCAACTGAGCCACCCAGGCGCCCCTATTCAGATATTTTGGAAGGCAGCCATGATACCACCAATGTTGCTCAGACTCGGATATTTTGGAAAACTCAATAACAATCAACTGTATTAAGAAAGACCTTAGGGCACCTGGGTGGCTCAGTCGGTTAAGCGTCTGCCTTCAGCTCAGGTCATGATCCCGGGGTCCTGGGATCGAGTCCCGCATCAGGCTCCCTCCTCAGTGAGGAGCCTGCTTCTCTGCACCCCCTTCCGCTTGTGCTTTCTCTCGCTATCTCTGTCTCTCTCAAATATTTTTTTTTTTTTAAAGACCTTAAAACAAATTTAAGAACAAAGAGAAATAAAACATGTTGACAGAATCTGGACAGAATTTTTTTAAAAAAGGAATAAAAAGTGGAAGTGGTAAGAGTACAAGAGAAAACAGACATGAATAACAGAGTAAGGGGCACTGGCTGAAGTGAGAAAAAAAAGAAATCAAACAATGTAAGAGAGGGTCGCCTGGGTGGCTCCGTCATTAGGCGTCTGCCTTCAGCTCAGGTCATGATCTCAGGGTCCTGGGATCGAGCCCCACATCGGGCTCCCTGCTCAGCGGGAAGCCTGTTTCTCCCTCTCCCACTCCCCCTGCTTGTGTTCCCTCTCTCGCTGTGTCTCTCTCTGTCAAATAAATAAATAAAATCTTAAAAAAAAAAAAAACAATGTAAGAGAAAAAAAGATTAGAGAGAAATGACAGCTGGAGAAGGCAGGCAAAGGAGATCCAAAATATGTCTCACTGGAGCCCTCAAATAAGGAAACCGAAAGAATAGACTGAAACAAAAAAAAAGACAGAATTCAAGACAGCCTTCCTAAAGTAAAAGGACTTTTAATGCTAAATACTCCAGGTGCCAGAAAACACTGACCCAGAATGGTCAACATCAAAACATATCTAAGTAAAGTTACTGAGTATCAAAAATAAAGAATCCAAAAAACAGGCAAAAAGATCAAGATGCTGATAAAAAGAAGAAAACAAGACTGGCCTGATTTCTTCACAGCCACAGTCAATACCAGAGAATCAAAGAGTAGCAACAATAAGGTAGGACTCAATTATTCTCTTATCTTTGTACCACACAATTTTCCAAACATATACAAAGGTTGGAAATATGGAATGCCCACCCCTTCTCTCTCCAGCTTCAAAAATTACCAGTGCTGTATTCTTATCTAATCTGTTCCAAGGGAACTTCCTTTTTCAAGAACTGCCGGTACCTTAATTTTAAAGAGAATCCATAAGGACTGAAAGTTTAAAAAGGTCTTTAACTTTCAAAATAAATCTCAACATTATGAAAGTAAGTTTATCTTCTATTTAACAAACTTGGTGACAGTTGCAACTGCACAGCTGTTGAAACAATGGGCAGCAAAAGACCCCAGTGCCAAGCCAGGTGGGAGGGATATTCAAGTAGGTACACATTATAACTAGTTCACTTGTGACTATTTTCACATTTTGGCAATCTCTGCTTCCTAAAAACCTCGTGCTATTTTACATTCCCCTGTCCTCCGTGCAAGGGCCCTGGGAAGTTATGTGTTGTAATAACCCCATTTTAGAGATGAGGAGGTAGAGACTCTGAAGGGCTGAGCGTGTCGCCCAGGAGTTGAACAGACAGGCTGTCCACAAACGCTGCATTTGCCACCATGCTACACGGCCTCCCAGAAGGATAGAGTCGCTCTTTAGAAATTACCAGAAACAACTGACTTTCTGAAATTGTGATTAATAGTGATTTGCCCAATACCACTGCAACCACTACACATGCTCCTGTAAACACATTTTGCGGGGAATCTGTAAAGCAACAAAATGCTGATATTTGAATGGGAGTATCTAAACCGTTTACTTGTAGTTAATTCATTCTTGTGGTAAATACCCTCACTATAAACAAAGTTCAATTCCTTCAACATCCCTCATAGAAGAATCCCAGTAATACCGAGGTCAAGTTCAGAACATATTGGGCGTGGGTCCCAATGCTATTTTATAGATTCGTGGTTCGTGATTCAAGGCATTATCCTTCTGGTCCCTTCAGGAATAAATTCCTTTGAGCACATTTCAAGATGGGTATCTTGTAGCTAACACTGTATTAACCAGCACTTACTGTAAGGAGCTCAAGAGTATTAAGAGACACCAGAAGTCAAGTCTTGTATAAAGTAAGTGAATATACGACAACTAATAGCTCACTATAATTAGGAAAACAAACATGAATATGGCGATCACATGGGGTGATCTCTCTGGCCCCCACTCCTCCTGTCTCTCCTGCAAGGTCCCAGTGTCTGTTAATTCACGATCAAGTGTTCAGAGACAGCCTTTCCATGCCCTCAAAAAGGCAAGATCCCAAAGGGCAGCATCCTCTGAAGTTTTCTTTGCACAAATTCAAGACAGCAGGGGACCTAAATTTCATTTTCTTTTTCTCTAAAACAGGAATAGTGGTAGCACCTCTCTAACGGGTTGTGGTGAGAGCTAAATGTGACCTGTTGCTTGAATCACAGAGCCCAAGGTCTGGACCATTAGCACCATTCAACACACGGTAACCGTTCTCCCCAAACCTGTCATTTCATACAGTAAGAAAAGCACGGCCAGCGAAGCAGGAAGATATCCTATCTCACTAGTATTCAAGGAAATACTAACGTAGCAAAATTGAGACAGTGAAAAAGACTTTCAAACAGGCAAATAAATGTCTAGCATAAATGTGCTAGCATTAATGAGCTAGACATTTTTTTCTGCCAAGAGTTCACTAGCACCAGTAGAAGGTACTGTCAGAGATGTTAAAAAGCCCTGAATGTTAGCGCTCTTTGCTATTCATCTCAAAAGATGTCCATCATTTCCTGGATAATGGAGGAGGAAGTCCAGAATCATGACAGCCTATACCCTGGAAACTCTGATTAAGGGCCCAGCACATGAAAATTGGATACAGCCTAATGAGTCTGTGAATTCAGAAGCACTCTGCTGCAAGATGTAGCACTTGGATGCTGAGACCCAAGCAGGCCAGGTGGTGGCTCCCTGCCCAGATCCTGCTCTGTGGGCTGTGTCTCAGCTGCTGACGGAGCCATCGGTCAACATATCAACAGCGCCTACTTGAATTCCTGCACTCTGAGGAGCACCTTAGAATCCAAGACCACAGGAATTTTAACATCGCAGCATGAATCTAATTAGCCTCCATAAAATTTATAATAGCTTGACCAAAAAGCAGTATTGGTCAAGATAGCCAAAAATGGAAAAAAGAAACTACACAGACACAAAAATTTGATTATTCCAGAATTCCAATATAATCTCCTTGTTTATCGTTTTAGTGATTACACTGTAAACTTAGGGTGTTAATACCCAACGTGGGTACCATATTTGCATGTATCAACTTTCTAGTGGTCTGTTTCTAGAATATTAAGTGTACACTAAAATACAATCCAGGGGCACCTGGCTGGCTCAGACAGTTGAGTAAGCACCTCTTGATCTCAGGGTTGTGAGTTCAAGCCCCACAGGAGGTGTAGAGCTTACCTTAAAAAAGTACAATATAGTTCTAGAATATAATGCTTCATTATAGAAACTGATTAAATTAGTAAATTTTCACAGTGAAAATAAAAAATGTGCTTTAAAAAGTCTACCAAATTGGGGTGGCCTGGGTGGTTCAATCTTTTACGCATCTGACTCTTGATTTCAGCTCAGGTTATGATCTCGGGGTCGTGGGATCGAACCCCGAGTCAGGCTCTGCACTGGGCGTGGAGCCTGCTTAAGATCCTCTCTCCCTCGGCCCCACCCTCCTCTCTCTCTCTAAAAAATATAAAAAATAAAAAAATAAGAGTCTACAAAGCAAAACTCAAATGAAATCGAGAAGTCTTAGAGCTGCCGTGCAATCTGGAAATATCCTACAAACTTTTCACGTATTAAGCATAGTGACCGACCCAAAGTAAAAAAAGAAATCAAGACATCTGGATCCTCTTTGGGCAGGCCTCTCCTGGCCTCCATGAATAGGGTCACACAGACTGACCTCAAGGAGATGGGATGAGGCAAAAAAAAAAAAAATAAAAAAAAAATTTAAAAAAAAAAAAGATCCTCCCCGCCTCAGCATGTGATTTTCATCACTCTGTTCATTGTCACAGTCTACACTGGCTTCTCTCATTCTCGTTTACCGCAATGGAGTCTGTACCAGGCACAATACTGATTTTTTTTTTTTTAAAGATTTTGTTTATTTATTTGAGAGAGTGAGAGAGAGAGCACGAGAGTGGGGTGAGGGGCAGAGGGAGAAGGAGACTCCCCGCCGAGCAGGGAGCCCGATGTGGGACTTGATCCCGGGGCTCCAGGATCATGACTTGAGCTGAAGGCAGACGTTTAACCAACTGAGCCACCCAGGCGCCCCAGGATCGATACTAATAACCACCTATGTTACTATTTCATTTAATCCTAACAAACTGAACAGACAGATGCTGACATTTTTATTCCCATTTTGGCGATGAGGCACCTGATACCCAGAGAGCTTAAGTACCTCCCTCGGGATCTGGATCACATTAGCACGCAGACCCTGAGTCCAGACTCACACTCGGAACCACCTCCCTCAGCATCCTGGATGAGGCCTTTAAAAATAAGGAGTTCTATATGGGTCTCACCTTAACTGCCATCAAGACAATTAACAAGCCACTTCCACTCCTCCTCATCCCTTCTATTTCCATTATGAAGAGAACACACCCACTCGGAAGGGTAGAGACCAGCCCCCAAGAAGGACAGCCACGCCCTGTCCCGGGCCTAGGACACAGGGAGGAGGCTGGGGCATGGGCGTACCTTTTCTGCGATGCCATTCTCTGTCGTGTAGATTGCCATGAGCTCCGTATCTTCATTGTCCTGTTCACCGCTGGACGTGGCACCTCCATTTATCACCACCTGCAGAGAAACACTTCATTTATATATAGGCTGCTTCACCACACACCGCTGTCATTTCATAAAATGGAATGGAAACATTCTCCTCAGAAGCCTTCTGTAATGCTCATAACAGACACGAGCTGTGTGTTTTTTGCCTACCAAATCAGCCAAGTTTCGAGTTTTCTTCAAGGAAACTCCGGACAAGTTTGCGCTCTTCAGCGACCGTGTGTGTTTCTGATGGGGGAAGAGAAATGCCCCGCGGGTCCCACAGGCGGAGGCCGGAAGGAGCACCCACAGAAAGCCCAGGGAGCGGGGCCCGCAACGCCCTCCGAGGCCAAGAGAGGCGTAGCTGCCGTCTCTGGGCGGTGGGAAGCATCCTGAGCTGCCTGGGTCAAGATCCCTTCCCAAGTCACCGCGTGATGGCGATTCTAAGTGGCGTCCCCGGAAAAGCAACTCACGCACTGCTGATCACCTAACGTGCTGACGTGCTGACGTGCTGACGTTTCCCACCGTGGTTACTATGTAAACCAGCCTGCCGGCGCAGGCGCACACAGAAGAGAACGTGTGGCGATGGACAGGTGTGGGGGCTCTTCCTAATGACAAAAATCTAGCTTCTGGGCCCTCAGAGTAGAAGGAGCAGAATTCATCACCACCCCTCATGCCTGCCCTGGTGAGGCACGTGGAGTCATCTTAGGTCCTGGAAGCCTGTAGCAAGAATCTTAAAATATTTTTACTCTTGTAGCCAAATGGCTCCATTTCTAGGAATCCATCTTGAAAAATTAATCCTGAAAAATAACTATGCATGAATAGCAGCACAACTATATTTTTAAAATACAGAGAAGAAGGGGCGCCTGGGTGGCTCAGATGGTTGGGCGTCTGCCTTCGGCTCGGGTCATGATCCCAGGGTCCTGGGATCGCGTCCCGCATCGGGCTCCCTGCTCAGTGGGGAGCCTGCTTCTCCCTCTGCTTCTCTCTGTCTCTCACGAATAAATAAATAAAATCTTAAAAAAAAAAAATAAAATACAGAGAAAAAAGACAAAGTACATAAAAAGTTTAGCATCTGGTATTGTAAAGTATACTAAAGAGAAGTAAAAGATGAGTGACAGGGTAAGAGATGGACAAGCGCAACATCTATAGCCCACAAAGGTCGGTATCAGTAGTTGGTAAAGAATACCTGCAAATCAATCAAACAATTCACAGGAAATGGGCAAATGACAGGAGGCTACAACTCACAGGAAAAAATTTAAGTATCTAAAACACATGATTAGCTGCCCAACCTCATTTAAAATTATAGAAATAAAATTTTTCATGTTTTAACATAAATTAGGGGGATATTTCAAAAGATGAATCTAGTGTTGACGAAGGTGTGGGGAGAAAGCTACTCTGGAGTTATCAGAGAGATTACATTCTTGGTGGACTGGCCTTTGTGGAAGGTAATTTAGCACCAGAACAGAACAGGCATTTTTCTGGACCCACCAACTGCACTCATAGAAACTTATCTTCCGGAAATATCCATGCAAATGGTATGTGCATTCAAGACTGATGACTGATATCTAAAAGGCTGAATCTCTGGAAACAACCTAAATGTTCATCCAAAAAAAAAAAAAAAAGACATTACAACCAATGGGGGAAAAATAAAGGTGAACATTGTGAGATATATCCATTTCAAAAATAATGCTATTGAAAAGAATTAAAAAGAAAAAATAAACTAATGTGCTGACAAGGAAAGAACTCCAAAAAATACAGTTTCTTAAAAAAGTCACAAAACAGTAAGCCTAGAATTATCCTAATTATGCTTAAAAAAAAATCCTAATAACCTCTCTGTCTTGAACACTTGGGAAAGGATGCAGAAAGGCCCCAAACCAAAAACAGGAAGGCTACCCTACGGACAAGGAGTAATGATGGGCACACGTTTCATTTTTTACTCCCAATCCTTCTTTAACATTGGGGTCTTTTATAATCGGCATGTATTTGTGTGTTATTTGTATGCTGCTTTTTTAAATGAACAATAAAAAAGATGCCCACCAAAATATTAATCGTGGTTGTCTTTAATCAGTGGGGCCGTTTTCACCTTTTTCCATTTATATATTTTGGAATTTCCTATAATGAGGACAACTACTTTTTATAATGGGGAAGAAATTATAAAGACTAAAGATCTAATAAGCAGCATAGCTTAGATTGAGGAGGTCCAAAGACATTTCAATCCCTTCTTTTTTAAACAGTTGAAGAAATCAGGCAGTGAAAAATTAAACTTCTTATACAGATTAATAACCCAAGTATGAGGCTACTTTAAAGAATGCCAGAGATCTGCACTAACTAGTACATAATTTTTACAGGGCAGCGTTTTCTTATGGCACTTCAAATATTTATTTCTAAAACTACCGCTTAAGTCACGAGACGGGTTTTTACACAAGCTACCTAGGTTTGGGACATTTGTTTGCCCATAAAACCAGCTGCCAGCAAGATACACCTTCCCAGCCAAGTTCAAGTCCACAACAGGAAACTCTAACTTACTGTCAGAGCCACACTCCAAGTCCTATCATAGCAGTGCTCAGCCCATGGAGACGCCAAGACTTACACACACTCAGGATGAACTCTCTTACAACAACAACGCTCAGTTACTAAGTCATCAAAGAAACCCAGATCTGATTCAAAGTCCTATCCTGGCTAAAAACCCCCTTCATCTGCACTCATGGCCAGATGAACAACTTCTCCGTGGGGACGGGGCTTCCTTCAGGGGGATGAAAAGGTTCTGGAATTAGGCAGTGCTGATGGGTGCACAACACCGTGAATGTGTGAAAGGTCTCTGAATCGTTCGCTTTAAAATGGTTAATTTTGTTAACCATTTGTGTGAATTTCACCTCGGTGATTTTTTTTTTAATTCATATACCAGCACCAAACAGGAGATCTGGGCAGGATTTATCAATCCCCAGGCCTTTCCGGACTTATTCCACACACACACTCACAGTAAGTACCATAAGATGCAAATGCTTCCCAGCCTAGGCAAAGGCTCAATATTTATTCAACGAACTGTCTGAGGACCTGCTGTGCCCAGGCCATGGAGATGCAGTCCTGCCCCCCGCAACACCTGCCCAAGGAGTGCCACCTGGAGCAGGTGCCGGGCTCAGGAATTCTGACTGGACACAAGGCCCCCAGCAGGGAGCCATGAAGCAGTGGCAAGCCCAGGCAGGCCACGACCGGATGTGCCTTGTGGATGGCCACTCTGCCGGCAGTGGGAGTGGAAGGGCGAGGTGTGGTAAAGGGCACGGCGATGGGAACAGAGGCAGGCAGACCTGTATGAGGCTGCTGCCGGGCGCTAGAGACAGTGGCCTGGGCCAAGGTATGAACAGTGCAGTGCTCTGGGAAAGGTAGTGTGGTTCAGGAGAGAGCAAGGATGTGGCCCTAATGCCCCTGGAGACTGCCCGGATAGGAGAAGAGCCTCGCAGCTGCTCAGGGTGGGCACCCGGTAGACACCACCATGGTCCGACAGGCAACATGCTAGCCCTGCCCTGAATGCAGGGGCAGGGGGAAAGCATCCAGGCCACTGTCCAGCTCAGTCGCCTGGGCCCTGGGCAGATGTGGGTCCCAGCCCCAAAGAGACTGGTGCAGGGACGAGCAGAGAAACAAATTGGTACAGGAGCAGTGTTTGTAAGCCGATCCAAAAGGTGTTTTGATTCCTAGAAACCACACAGGACACTTACTTCCCCAGACCAGCGTGGGCTGTTTATTTGACTATAAAGATGACTGACCTAAATCACCTAACCATGATTTCTAACATATTTCCACAGGTCAAGCCATCCAGGGGGACCTTGGAGCCCACCTTCCATCCCCATCAGCCTCCCGTTCCAGAGCTGCACTGCTGCCCTCCACCTGGGCCACCCTCATCCCCAAGTGGAGAACATGCCCTGTCCCACCACGTCCTGGAAGGTAGGAGGTTCTGGAGCGAGCGGCAGCTGAACCAAGTTTCTACTGAAGGGAGAGGGGGATCTGGCACCGGAGAGAGGCAAAGGCGACAGGCGGTAGGGACGCCCACCAGGGCGCCTGTCTGACCCACGGCCTCCCCTGTGTGTGCGTGCAGGAAATGACCAAACATGGCTGGAAAAATAAAACACTGGTTTGTTTTACTAATGTTTCCTTTGATTTATTAAATTAGCTATTCTGATGATTTAGGGTTTTTTTCAAATGTGAAATTTTAAAAAATCAAATGTTAAAATCCGTTCTTCAGGAAAGGCACAGACTTTTTTTAAGAGAAAGGGATAAAAAAATGTTCCTGATACTATCAAAGCTTCACATTTTTGAATCTCTAAATATTATTTCAACTGGGAAATAAAACACGAGTTGGAAAGCTTCTTAAACTAATAAAATAGGTTTTCTTTTGAGTTATTGATAGCACGGCCGCTAACAACTGGATCTTGGCATCTTTCATCTTAGGAAACTGATCTAGTTTTTATTTAAAAAACAAAAACAAAAAACAAAAAACAAAACCAGCAGATCATTTTTGGGAACAAGATGTCCTTTCTCCCCCCCCCAAAACTATTTGAAACCAGATTTGATGGCTTTACATTTTTCCACTAAACCAATACTGTATAATCACTCCATCAGCTGTGAATCGAGCAGGTTTTCTCTGCCTACATTTGTCCAGCTGATGACTTGTTCCCAATATGCAAGTCTCTGTGTGGAAGAGTATGTCTATTGCTCCGTAAACATGTCTTTCTTACTCAAGTGTTTTATTTCTAGTAAACAAAGGCAATAATGCTAACGTACTTGTTTCTAAATAGTAATCCTGAGATGGCCAAATGCACGGGAAGCAGGAGAGACAGGCCAATAGTGGAGGAGTGCCATGCCGAGGGTCAGTGTCACAGCAATGCCCATTTAAACCAAGAACGAACAAGCCATGTTACTCACACAGAAGCTGCAGTGAATGGCAGCTGTGGGCACATGCAAGCGAAAGGGTACAGGGACCTGGGAAACCTTGTGCCTCTGATCAGAGGCTCAGAACCCAATCTATCGCCTATTTGGGG